AAAATGGAATACGTATAATTCGTGATTTAAGATAATGATTTACCTAATAAAGTGTAAAAATTTAAAGCTAAAGAACGCATTGTTACATTCTAAATTTGAAAATAAACTATTTATCACGTATGTATAAACGTTATCAGTTAGATAAAATATATTAGAAGTTTCATTTTTAATACATAAGCATATGTACATTGTTAAATCGGGATTATTCCGAAATTTAATATTATAACAGTAAAAAAGGAGCATAACCACATTTTTGCATCTTTTTAATTTAGTTTTATGTTTATTTTTAATATTGAAAGTTAAAGAAAAATAAAAACTTATAATAGTAATGAGAATTTTTTTAATTTCCTTCGTTTTCTTAAATGCCATTTTTCAAATAGGTTGCTTTCCTGATGGTCGTCCCGAAGGTCGTGGTGGACAAGAGTCAGTACAAGTAAAAGACAAGTTATACTTTATGGGAGGATCTCGTCTAGTCCCGTTCTTAAATCCGAAAAGATATAACTTATCAGATGAAGTATTTTATTTAGACCTTTCATCACAATTCGATACTGAAAATCCACCATTTACAGATCTTACCGATGGTACTTCACGAATGTTTTATGGAAACGAAAAAGGTTGTTATTGATTTTGAATTATTTATTCAAAATTTTAATTACAAGCATTATACTTGCATACTCGCATATTCATAATAATTAATATGTGAATTAGGTGCTGCAATGCTCGGGGGATCCGATCAATCTGATATATACTTGATCGATGGAACACAGGTGAATCTATCAACAATAAATTGGAATGCTACAGACAAAATAAATTGGAATGTTACGGATCAATTTATTTATATTTATAAAACTGTTCCTAAAACTTGGACAAAATTTGGGCAAGGAGTTAAAGGAATTCAACCTTCAAGACGTAGATCAACTTCAACGGTGATAAAACCTAATGGAACAATATATATATTCGCTGGAAGAGTTGAACTAGATATGGGGGCGAGCACCCTTACATTATATAATGATTTGTATCAATTTGATACAATCTTATTATCTTGGAATCAGATCATGGCACCAAATGCACCTTCACCCCGAAGCCACAGCACCGCAACATTGCTTCCAAATGGAAAAATTATTTATATTGGAGGAGTCTCTCAGGACACTCCTGGAAGTCAAACTACTTTAATCATCATGACTGAGGTAATTTATTATTATAACTCCATTATTATTTACAACACTGTACGCTTATTTGATTTGTTACTAGATCCAAATCTTTGATACAAATTCTTTATCCTGGTCAAGTCATGTATGTATTTCTTATAATAAATCTTTAATGTATTAATATTCTGCATGTACATATAACTAAGTTGTATTTATTTATAGACAGCAAGCGCTTCATTTTCAGTACAACCTCGAGTTGGTCATACATCAGTATTAACACCAGACAATAGCTCAATTATAATAATGGGCGGGACTTCGAGTTATCAATTAACTCAAACGACCGTTCACCCAAATTTACTGAAATTAGATATTCGATCTGAACCTTTTCAATATTCTATATTAAATACTTCTGCAACAAATCAACCACCTCCACTATCATTTCACAGTGCCAATGTATATTCGGATTATATGATAGTTGCTTTTGGTTATTATCATTATTATTATTTTTATTTTATGTTTATCAAAATGCTGGCAGAATTAACCTTCTCTTTTTTTGAAAATAGGAAACATAACTAATTATGCGGCTGATTCGAATGTAACAAGTTCAAAAATCTATTTATTATATATTCCATGCTTAACTTGGGAATCTACTTTTATTCCCGGTAGATCCGACTGTAAAAGTAATTATGGTAATCTTATTATCGGTTGCTCTATCGCTGCTGCTTTCTTATTTTGCCTAATGGTTGTTGGTGCAATAATATTGTATAAGAAAGGAAAATTAAACTGCTGTAGCCGTAGAAAGGTTAATAAATTAACAAACACAGAGGAATATCAGGAACCACCCACCTAACCGGATATGCAGAAAATACAATCTTAATTCGGAAAATTTACTGGCCTTTATGATTGAACGAAAAATCTCGATGCAAATCTATTTTGTATATTGCCGTTTTTTTCATAATTATAATTTAAATAACTTTATCGTAAAATAAATAATCTCAACTCCTAAGCCCTGGTTTGGTTTAGGATTACTTATTGTGGCAGTTAAAGTTGAAATTGGATGTTGCTGAAATTTTGACCTATTTTTGTTATATTTAAATTTTTTATGCTTTTTTGTTAAGGGGTTATGTTTTTATTAGATATTATATATTTAATTGAAGGCTTCAACCAATTTCAGCGCAACGTCATTTATTTGTTTCACTTTTTTTTTTTTTTTTTACTTAGTCTATAAATAAATATACGTATTAAAGAAATTTTCCAGTTTGCTCTGCCAAAGATCATGTTGATTATATTAAACCATTTTAATGCGCTAATTTATAAACGCATAATAATAGGAAATCATGAAATGTTTTCAAATTAATGTTTCGATATTTATTAGCATTTATATAAGATGAATTTAGGTTTAATTGCATTAATTCTACGATCCATACTATCTTTAGTCAATTATATCATTCTATAAATCATAGGAAAAAGTCTAAGAGCATTAGCATGCATTACTACCTGCAAATCAATTAGAATGTAAGATTAGATGTAGTATAAATTCAAATCATGTAAATAAAAAGGTATAAATTGTTATTATTAGAACTGAATTTCATCCTTGTAGTTCTATCCTAATATTCTGTAAACTGTTTGGGTCAAAAGTGACATCTTTTGCGTTTTAGCATTTTAGAGATTATGATTGTCCGGAGTGTAGCGGAGGACATTTAGTGTTTAATAAGGGTGATGCAAAAGTTACGTTATTGATGCATCAATAGTAATAATTAGTTATGATTTTGTATCGGTATCAAAAGTGTAAATTTTAAAATTCATGTCTCCGCACGCATGGCTGAATTTGTACTTTAGTGTAACAAAAACACATTTTTTCCCGGACACACATTTTAGGTAGCGTACCCACAAAAATTTTCTCCTCCCTGTAATTTTTTATCAAGAATAAAACAGCGTTGTAGATAGAGTTAAGACCAGAGTAATTCAGTGTCTAATAGTAATATTTCACAAGGAGCATTTTTAATTAGGCCGTAATAGATGGTTTCTTAATTAAAATTCAGAGTTATTTCTGTTTTTTTTTTGTAAAAAAATGCCTTCGCTTCGATTGTTTACGTTACACCTGATCTTGAAATTTGATTGGTCAAAAATCACGTTTCCGGAAAATTTTTGTGGGTGCGTTCGGGGTTCGGACACACGGTGCTACGCATTAACCTAGTAACTAGCGTTTTAGAGATTATGAGTTTTAAAGCTTTGAGTTATACACAATATAAATAGTTTCCATAAAAAGGGCAGGTACATCACGAAATTGCCCGATGATTGATAATCATAGGATATATCATTCTAAAGAAGTCTTTTTTAAAACTTCTATCGAATGTTTCTCAACATCTGCTTGATCTAATTCGGTAAAATTTTTTATTTTAGTTCTATAGTTTAGTAGGATTAAATAAAAAAAAGTTCATTGAGAAACCATCACTAAATTTTTTTTAAAAAAAAAACTAGAAATAAAAAAAATCGAATAAATTTTTCTTCTTTGGGCTTTAAACGAAGATTTCTTGACAACTAGCTATGAAATTTAATTGATTTTTTTTTTTATTATAGTTCTATGAATTTATAGAATTAAAATAAAAAAATTTTGATCGGGTTTGGATAGCTGGTTATAGAGAAATATTCAATAAAAGTTAAAAAAAAATTTAGCCACAGTTCTTTTTTAAGCTTTGAACGACATTACTTGATCAAATTTGATTGAATTTTTTTTTATTTAAATTATATGAGCATGTAGAATTAAAATAAAAAAAAATTTATCGAAATTGATCGGTAAGTGCAGTGTTGGAAATCTGTATTGAGATTTATGTTCTCATAAGAACAAATTTGTTTAATTTAATATTCTCAAAAATTTATTCATGTTCTCAGCTCATAGTAAGACATTCGTCTGATTGGTTAGATTTGGTAGATCTACCTGATTGCCGTGATAATTAACCAATCAAAATAAATAATTTTATTAATACTACAATACGTTCTTTAGCTTTAAATTTTTACACTTTATTAGGTAAATCATTATCTTAAATCACGAATTATACGTATTCCATTTT